TTGAGGATGAAGGGTCTAACCAAGAAGCAAGGCTACTTGGAATGCTCGAGACACTAACTGGAGGGCACACGGAAGTCATAACTTTTAAAACTCCCGACTTTCTCAAGCTCTCACCGTATGTACCTATGCCTCTGGGTATCGCGCATGTGTGGATGTCACTGTAAAAACATTTTTTGGGGTGTGTGTGTGGTGGGGACAAAAGGGAGCACATGCATTTCTGCAAGGCAAGAAGGCATTTTTTGCAGGGGCTAGACTCAATGGGGGGGGGCCTTCCAGCTTTGCACTTCTAAGGTGATGAGGATGATTCCATTTTTGGATCCAGCCCTTGTGATCTGGAGGGTATCCTTTTTGACGCCATGGGGCTGGCCCTGCGATTGTATGCTTTATGTTCTTCCTTTTCTGTTTTTGTGGTTGTTAGGTGCTGTCAAGTCAACTCTGACTCATGGCAGGCCTGTGAACGAGAGCTCTCCAAAAACGTCGTGTCCTCAGCTGCCCTGCTCGGCCCGTGTAAACTCCTTTAGGAAGTATTTGGTCTTCCTCCGTTCCTGCTGCCTTCTGCCTTGCCTAGCGTTGTTGTCTTTTCCAGGGAATCCTGCCTTCTCATCATGCGCCCAAAGCAGGACAGCCTCCGTTTTGTTAATTTTGCCTCCAGAGACAGTCCGGGCTTGATTTGATCTCATTAATTTTGCCTCCAGAGACAGTCCAGGCTTGATTTGATCTCGGACCCCCTTTGTTCGTTCTTCGGGCAATCCAGGGGATTGCTTTCCTCTGGCACCACATTTCAAAGGGATCCATTCATTTCTTATCAACTTTCCTCGTTGTCCAGCTTTTACACCCGTACGTGGTGGGCAGAAATGCCACAGTGTGCATGGTCTTGGTCTCCAGTGACCCATCCTTGCATTTGATGACCTTGCCTCGTTCCTTCACTGCTGTCCTTCCCAGTCTCCGTCGTCTTCTGATTTCTTGGCTGCTGTCTCCATTTGGGTGGATGATGGAACCATAGAATACGAGACCTCTTAACTGTTTCAATTTCTTCATCATTACCAAGTTGTGTCATTCCTCTGGACTCATGATTTTGGTCCTGTTAATGTTCAACTGCAGTTCACCTTTCTTCTTTCACTTTCACTAAAAGCTCGAAGTGCAGAATTCAGTTACGAGCAAGATGTAAGAAGAGGGTTGGACTAGCTTCTTATTTGGGGGGGGGTGTTTGTGTGTGATGGAGAGAGGCAAGGGGCTTCCCCCACCACTAGCTCCTGCTGTCTGAGGTGGCCACATCTCTGTGCCTTAGGGCTGGATTGGCCCCAAGACCATAGGATTCTTCATGCACAGCTAACTCGGCAATTATTCATTGTGAACCGAGATACTAGAGAAGAATTGTGAAGCAAAGGAGGGAGAAGGGCAGGGTGCGAGGCGACAGTGGTGGTGTAAGTGTGTGCCAAACTTAGAAACCAACGGGCCATGGGTCAGCAAAGCCCAGCAGCCATGATGGTTGCTAGATTCTAGGATTTGAAGTCTAAAACAGCACATTTCCCCAGCTGTCTCCCTCCCTCCCTCGTTCTCTCGAGAGGACACCTTGAAGGAAACAGAAAAAGCTTTTAATACTGGTTGTGTTTTGATTGCTTTGGGGGCATGGAACTGCTTTCTCCTTTAGGAACTATGTCACTTCCGTCCAATTTTTGCCCCCACCGAGAAGAGCGGGTTGCCAAAGGCCCCCGAAACCTGTCCATCTGAGCTGCAGGGAAGCAGCGTCTCTTGATTACAACAGTTTTCATATTTTCCCCCAAAGGTCATTTCAGGTCAGCTTGGAAACCAAAGCTCTGATCTCCACCAGGTCCTGCTGACTGATCCGGGGATCCAGGGCGAGGCTTTCACTCCCCTCCAACCTGCATTTCCAGCATTTCCAGTCATAAACTGCCTATCCAGTCATAAAGGCTACTTTTGATTTGGCCCCAAACCAGCGGTCCAGCAAGAAAGGAGGAAATGTCTTTTGCTTTGTGCAGCAAACTCCGCCTGGCCCCGAGGCGATTGCCACGAGTCAACAAAACAAAACGTATTCCCCCCTCGGGGTGAAAGAATGTTCTCTTCTCCTCCTCCAAGAAGTCCAACGGTCATTCCAAGAAATTCACACATTTCCTTTTAAAGACAGGGATGTTTTTTCTTTGACCCGGGAATGACACACAGTTTCCTTTCGGGGGAAAAAAAAGCTTTTAAAGCTTTCTCAGCTTTCCTAAGAAAAAAAGAGTCCCCGGACGAAGTCTTCTTCTCTCTGAATATTTGCAAGGCAGAGGATTCAGGAAGATTAAAGAGAAGAAGCAAACGGCAAAGCCTTGCTGGAGAGTGTCCTTTGCTGGACGGAATGGAAGACAGATCCGCACAACATGGACTGTCATGCTGGCCGCTGTTCCCCTCAAGATTGACTCATCCCAAATGAATGGGGTGAGGGGTGGGGAGAGAGATGCTGTCCTGATGTTCCCCGGGAGTGCTAGTGGCCGATATGGGACCGTGCATTTGAACACCCCATTTTGAGCACCCCACGAAGGGAGGGGATCCTGCTTTCCGGGAGCGGCTCTGTCCTCTCCTGCTGAAAGAAGCATTGAAGCGTCATGCGCTCAGCACCTCACTCCATGGTCTGCCTGTAAAGCCAGGATAAAGGCAGTGGTTTGAAGTTTCCAGAGCCCTAAAGAACAGCGAGGGAGTGCCCCCCACCACCACCGCCACCACCACCGACGGGTGTGGATGCTAAAGGAGTGAGCTGTTGGCTGAAACGCTTTTAAAAACGATTTCCTCAAACTTGTCAGAGGCCTCTTTATACTCATCGTCCTTCGCTTTAGACATTGTCTTTTAATGATGTGAACCAGGGTTGTCTGCTCACTGTTTTAAACATTAAATATTTTCTTTCAATGTTGTAAGCCGCCGCCTTGGGTACTTGTCAAGGAGAAAGGTGGGGTAAAAATATTTTGAATAAATACATAAATAAAGCTTCATAGGACTGCCTTCTCATTTATAGGCTTCACCGGCCTTCAAAATGTTGGAGGGAGGCCCTTGCTTTGATCTCACTGCCCTCAGAGGGAGGATGAGTGAGAAGCAGAGAGAGGGCCTTCTTGGCGGCTCTGGAACTCCCTGCCACTGGAACCTAGGGCAGGCCCTTCTCTGTTTGTCAGGCCACAAACAGACAAGGACCTTTTTAAAAAATACCTACGGCCACAGGTGCTGTGGGGTTTATTTTCCCTTTTCTAAATATGTTTTTAAATTGCACCTTTTCACTTGACCACATTAGAAGGACCGAAATTCATCGGCTCCCATTTGCCTGGCTCAACCCTTGCTTCTTTTCTGTGTTTTGCTTTTTGGCCTTACGTTCATTTTTCAGTTTGATGGCTGCTTTTGGGACTCCCAAGTCCTGGGAGAAAAGAGGGGACAGGAAGCCAAGGAAGGAAGCAAGCAAGCAAGCAAGCCAAGAAGGCAAAGCCAAGTTTTGCCTTTCTGCGGGGTGATGTTCAAATACCAGCGGTGAAAATCGAAGGAGGAGAAGCAGCCGGGAGCCAACGTGTGCCACCAAAGCCAAAGGGCGCCCGTCGGCTGGGAGAGCAAGCCTTTCCAGGCCAAATTCGATATCATGGAAGCTCTGGGGAGACCAAGAATGTCAAGCGTGTGGGATCGCTGTCAGGGAAAGCGTTTCCTCCATTTAGAAGGGAGGGACCCAATGTACAACCACAGACAGCAAGAGAGAGAAAGAGTATGGCCAGCTAGAGAACCATTTGGGATCGGGACCTGGGTAGGACCGGGTTTGGCCCAGCAGGGCCTGAGGTTCCCCATCTGCCTTCCACCATCATCCCACCTCTGCCCCTGCAGTTTTACAGCTGGAATAACCGCCCTCCCACATTTGCTCGCAGCAAGAAGAAGCCTCGCTGGCCACATTGGCAGGGGATTCTGGGAGTCGTAGTCCAAAGCGGTCATGTTTCCAAGCTCTGTTCTCCCTTCCTTCCCTCATGCAGACACCGCATTTGTATTCAGGATGGCTTGAGACCTTCGCCCGACCCTGTTGTCCCTTTCTGATGAAAAACGACCTCCCGGTTTCTCTTCCTTCTCCAAAACGCGATGGCTGACTCAACCGTTAAAAGACAGCGAGGGTGAAGTCAAAATCATCAGGGCTCAAAGAGGACAGGCCTCCCAAGACATCCTTTTCCTCTGACCTTGGGGTACGCTCTTCCCTCACAACCCAGGCGCCCCATGCCCTCAAAGTTACCTTCCTTCCCCTACAAAGGGCAGATCTGCATTTTACAGTTGAAGCTTGGGAAGTGCACTTTGGAACAGACGAGGGAGTAGGGAAAGCGTAGCCCTGCAGGATTACAACTCCCATCAGCCTTGGTCCAGGGAACCAAGAGGCCAAACGGGAAGGAAAGGCCTGTCAGCCAGCCTTTGTTCGGAGTCCAGTTTTTTCTTCTTCTGTGTTTCAATCCCTGGGCTCTCCAGAGAAATGCTGGATGCCAAAATGCCCTTTCAAGGACCCAGAAAGAACCCGTTGAGGCTGGAGAGCCCCTCCTTACCTGGCACTGAGCTGGCCTTGACTCAACACACTTGATGAGCAGGCGATAGATAGGGGCTGAACTTTGTCTTTAATCAACCCAGTACTGTATAGAAATGTGTGTGGTTTAAAAAAAAAAATCCCCACCCCTTATCATTTTATGAGCAATTGATTACCGTGGAAATCTTTTTCATCTTTCTTCATCCTACAGTAAAATTTCAACCCCACCCTTTTATGAAATATGACTCGCGCTTGCTCTCTCTTTCAGGAAAAAGAAGGGATCCTACAGTAAAATTTCAACCCCACCCTTACATGAAAGATGACTTGCGCTTCCTCCCTCTTTCAGGAAAAAGGAGGAAAAAAACCCCAACACCCCAGAATTAAATCAAAACAGGATTGCCTTCCTGTTTTATTGCTCCATCACTGAATGGCTATGGAGGGGAAGGTGAAATAAAAGTCCCACGTCGGGAGCGTGTAGTTCAGGTTTCTTTATTGAAAACGTTTAAAACCCACCACCTCTCACCTTAAAAAGGAGAACTATTTTCAGGTGAAGATTGGCTAACCCCCAGGGGTTAGTGGGTTAAAGTTCTAGGAGAAGTAAAACACGTCCCCCATAGGAGAATGGCCTGGCTAATCGCCAGCTTGCATTCAGGAAGCACTGGCTTCTCGATATATCTCAGTATCTGGTAGACTGCTCCGGAAGATGGAGGTTCTGCTTTGCCGTCTGGACCCTCCTCGGTGGCGGCTGCCTCAGTTTGCCTTGTTTATCGTTTATCATGGAGATCTCCAAAGAGAAACCTAGGAGGGGTTGACTTGTTTTATTCTAGCAAAACCCCTTTGTGCCCGAGAGAACACGCCAAAGAACTCAGATACATTTCTTGTTGCATCTTAGAGAGTAACACGCTTTCCCTGGTGTAACACCGGTGGCCTGCATCCCACACCTTGATGTTCATCTGATGCCCAAGAAAACATGCCACGTTTTAAGGTGCCACATGACCCATTTGTTCCTTCGTGCGGGCAGAGGAATCCACACACATGCAGGTCCAACAAACCCACCACTTTCTCCATCGCTTCCCTTCCCAGTTTTACAAGTAAAACACATTTTACTCTCTGCCGAGAGACACTCCATTACGGACTAATTATTGTACTTCCCTCCCAGAGTTGGTCGTTATTCAAAGGGCAGCTGCCGCTGCAGTGCAGAAACTAATCCATCACACACACCCCACACTGTTTAATTACCCACATCATTACTTTATGAGCTGCCTGGTATTGATTTCAGAGCAAAGGAGCTATTTTTGGGCCCTGCCATATTTTTCTCTCCACCGGTAGAAAGATACGACCTCCAGGTCTAGATCTGTAAGCCGTCTTCTTCTGGGCGATGACGTGCTGGGTCTTTACGTTGCTGAACGGGCGCAGGGTGTCATCATCTCTCTTTTCAGACTGGTCTGAACCCCTTGGGGTATCAAGTGTAGTGGATCCATCTGCCATCATCCACCCTTCGTCCGAGGCAGCTGACCGGCCGCACCGGCCAGAGGTAACCTTGTTCTGCTAGTGTTTTTCTGTTGCTGGTCTTAAGAGGCACAGGATCACGACCCTGGAAGGCACACATAGCCACCCTTGGATAACCCCGTCCTTCGAGAGCAGCTCTAGTTTCCTGTTTTAAAGCTGTCCAGACAGGTCAGTTTTACTGCCTCTTGTGGTCACAAATGCCACGGTTTAACCTGAAAAAGGTTAAGACAGGAAGATGGGTCCTGGAAGTTGGGTTGGACGGACAGCCTTCTGGCTGGTTTCTGGTCCATGATCCGTCCTCACTCCCCAGAGCGCTTAACTTATGAAAGTCCTACTCAGATAAAATGGAAGGGGCTTACACCAGCACTGAGCACAGAAGGCCTGGAATGAACTCTGAGAGTGTTGCCTGAAAATAATGAATGGGCATCTTTTTTTAAAGCCACCGACAACTGCAGGATGGAACCCCCATCACTTGAACAGCTTTAAGGCCGGTATCTCTGAGATTCACCCAAAGGACTCCATCTGCCTTCGGGCAGTGTTTCTGTAAATACAGCAATCGGCAAAGTTAGCAGATTCACTGCGTTGAAGATTCCTGGGCGATTCCTCATTCCACGGAGGAAGTGGCGATTCCAGCATTTATGTGGCAGAAAGCAACACACGGTGGAGTCCGAACCCAGGCTGCAAAACTGTGGCAAGCTCCTCACAACAGGCTTGGAACCTCGCAAAGAGCCGTGCTGGCATCCACTTCACAAGAAAGGAAGACGGTTACTCTGCGAATGTTACTATCCTGCAAACCATTTTCCTGCACCCACCAAAGAAGGATAATTTGTAAATTTTAGAATAATCTGGATTTTGCATCTGGAATGAAAATGGGGACATTCAGATTCATTAAACTGATGCAACTGATGTCAGGGTCTGGGTTCGCCTTAAATAATCCCTGGGAGCCAGGACGGTAAAGGTGCTCCTCCAGGTAAAACTGGAAAGCTAACATTTATCCTGAATGCTAACTGCCGCTATTACTGGTGAAGTCTGAAAACAGACCATGGAAACGATGTAGAAACTTGTAAAGAAAAGCTATAGCTGTTAGGAAACTGGAAGGCACAGGCCCAAGATGGGTGCAGGGAGAATGGGGGAGCGCTCAGCAGCAGGAAACACCTATGCAGGTAGGAAGCAAAGTGGACGGATGTACAAGTCTGTAAAAGAAATCTTGTTTGAAAGCTACCCCTGCAGGATCCGTCCCCCACACAGAAAAGATGACAAGCACAGCAAAGTAAGTGAGAACACTGGTATGCTAAAATATTGTACATTCTTCTGAAATTCTTTACACAAAACTCTGCCTAACATTTTCCCGTGATTTCATTCAAATAAGCCCTTGAAAATTACTGCCAAAATCAGATTTTGTTAATACAGATCTATCTGTCTGCAGCCCCTTCCCAACCACCCCTCTCCCTGGCAACCGGTGTGCGTACAGCTTTTGAGTTAAAATCATGACACACAGAATACACACAGGCTGAATGTTAAAGTCTAGCAGCGCTAAAAATACAAGCGGGCCGGCTCGGCCATGTGTTCCGTAGATGACTCTCACGCCTTCCAAGCAAGTGAGAAATAAAACCGTCTGAAGGAGGCTCATGTGTTAGAGCGTCTGACATCATGGGCCAGAATTTTGGCTGGAATTTTGGGCTGGGGTAAAGGTAGGACGAATCCCCTCTTCTCAGCTTCCTGAGTTTTCCTTTTCTCCAGAGAAGCAGAGACCTCCTCCACGTGGACAGAGAACTGGGTCAGACCCCCAACTCGGTGGGGTTCTCATGGCTTGGCTGCAGTTGGTGCGTTTGCCAACAAACAGGTTCATAACACAGAGAACTGCACAAAAGGTCTTTCTTTAAAAGTGGCAAAGGGCAAGGATTCCAGAGCCCAGATCACCGCCACCACTCTGAATCCCAGGGTGCCCTCCGTTCCCAAGTCTCCGTGGGGTTCCTCTCATTCCCCCTCTCTCGTTTCCTTTGGAAAAAGAAGCCAGAAGAAGCTTTAGGGTCAAGGAGACTCCGTCAAGGAGGGCTGTGGGATGTTGCCAAACAGGAAGCCGCTGTCTCCCTCAACCGCTCTCCCGTGAGCTGGCGTTTGGTCTCAGGCCTCTCCGTCATTCTGTGTCACCAGCTGAGGAACAACTCGCGTGGCCGCAATGGGGCTCTGTGCAAACCTCTGCCTCCGAGGCCGCTGGCGGTGGTGGAGGCAGGCCCCCGACGGCGAGGATGCTGTCTGGATCGACCGGCGGCACCAGCGTCAGGGACTCCACGCTCGGCGTGTCTGCGCTGTCGTTCGAGATGAGGGAGATGGTGGGCTGGGGGGCAGGGATCAGGCTCGGGGACAAGTTTGCCTTCTCCGCATCGGCGTTCTTCCCGAGGATCTTGCCGGGCTTCGGGGCGAGTTCGGAGGAGACCTCCGTCCTGGAGAGGTGGCCTGAAGACGAGGTGGAGGCCTGGGGCTGCTCCAGAGCGACCGAGTCGTCTGTGGGACAGAAAGAGGAGAAAGAGCAGAGGAGATCTGTTAACGTTTGTCCTCTACGCGCCCGGCCCTCCTTTGCAAGAAAAGCCTTACAACGTGGCACCCTAAAACACGGGCGGGTTTCACGTGGCATGAGCTTCGGTGGACGGCAACCGACGTCTGCAAGCGCACAGAGCAGAGTCCAACTAGAGCTGTGCCGATGTGTGTGTTTTCTATAGCACACCTTGCAGGGTTTTCTGCAACCAGGATCCCCGGAGGATTCTCGGAGTGACAATCCCAAAATACTCAGCAGAACACGGCAGGCCCATGACGTTTGGCCTACACTTCAACACCACCCCTGCCATGAAGCACACACACCTGGCCACCCCAAGGTCTGTCAATGACCCTTCATGGGCACGGACGCCCTCTCGCCACGCTGGCCCCTTTTCCAACAGTGTTCCCCTAGTGTAACTCAGCAAAGGGAAGCAGACCCCCCCCCGGCCCACCTCAAAAGCCTTGTCCTGCAGACTCTTCACCTGGAGGTCGCACAGGTGATTTCTGGCAGGACATGGGGAACCTCCCTCTCTCACCTCCTTGCTGCCCAGCAAGAGACAGTCTCTCGGACACTGGAGGGGACCTGCAGCCATCCTGATGAGCAGCAATGGGTGGACTCAGCTGCTATGAATGGTTCTCATCGCTTTTTGGGAGCGATTATTAACACCTGGACTAGTGGACCCCCTAGTTCAGCTGTTAAGTAACTCAGAACATCAGAAGAGCCCTGAAGCTGGCGGTGACCCGAGGCCCATCTAGACCGACGTTCTGTTCCCACATGTCTTTGGGAAACCTACCAGCAGGGCCCCGGGTTCAAGTGGACCTTCCTATTTGTGTTCCTGCCCAACGACCACACTTTTCCATGGCTGACTCTGGAAAAGCTTAGCGCTATGTCACACCAGCAAAATTACTCATAGCGTGATTTTCTTTCTTGGCCTGAAGGCCATCCCAGAGCCTTGTTCTCCTCTGGAGATGCTCTGGAAGGGGCTCTTGAAAGCAGAAGGGGGGGGGAGGAAAGTAAATGACTTTGATCAGGAAGGCAAGAATGCCATGCTCCCCAAAACTAAAGTAGCTCCTTAGCACAAGGTATTTGCAAAACAGGCTTGGAGGCAAAGCGACAGAGGGGATGCGCTGTGAACAAACTTCCTCATTTGGACATAATGAACAGAAATCCTACCAAAAGCCAAAGTGCAACCCCCCCTAAAAAAAAGAAAAAAAAACACCACCCTGAAAAGTAACCAAATTAAACTAAGTGAAGGAGGTGACAGACAAGAGTTCCTTTTGGGTCTAAACTTTAATCTTTTCCCACCCCACCCTCCCTCTCCCTCTCCCTCTCTCTCCTCCTTTCGAAGGGCCGGCCCTACCATAAGGCAAAGAGGAGGGTTTGCTGCCTCCAAGCAGCAGCTCTTGGGGGGGGGGTCACGAAAAGGCAGCAGCCAGGTTTTTATCTCATTTATTACTTGTTGTGAGTTTCTTGCCAGCGCGTGGGAGAGACGCCTGGGAGGTTTCGTGGCCTCCTGTGCCAAAATAAGTTGGCCGTCTGAGGGTGTTAACGTGCCTTGATTGAGCTGGGGTGGTGGGGTGTTTGCTTTTTCAGCCTCTGGCAGCCAAATGTCCAGGGCTGGGCCTGCCAGCCCCCCCCCCATGTGCTTGCATTGCGATGCAGGGGAAAGACGCTGAGGTTTTCGTTTGGGTCGCCAGCTCTGAAGAACAACTCTTTAAGAAGAAGAAGAAGAAAGGGTTTCAGAGGAAGACAGTGGCCAGACGCCCCTCCTGCCTCCCGAGGGTCCTTCTGATGCTTCAAGAGCAGCCGCTGAGAACTGCAAAGGAAGTGATCTGGGGCAGGTGTGAAAAAAGCCAGCGCGGGCTGAGAAAAACACTGACGTTTCCTTGAACTCAAGAAGGCAAACACTGGCAGAAAAGTTCAGAACGTGGGCAGGTGGCGCAAGCGGGGAGACGAGGGCCTGAGAGTGCCGAAGGGGGTCACTGGGCACCTCCCCTCCACCCCGAGGCTGGCTTTTGCAGCAGCCGAGCGGAGGAGGGAAAGGGGCCGAGCTCTCTGGACCAACCAGGGAGTGGGAGGAAGCCAAAACGAACAACACCAACCCTCGGCCAGCTTTCTGCCGGCTCAGTTCAGATGCCCAACTCTCTCGTCAGTTGGTCTGACATGATGATTAAACTCCAGGATATAAATCCTGGAAGATCGCTCTCTCCTCTGCCCGGAGTCTCGGAAAAGCACCCAGAGCATCTGTGGGTCCTTGGCCTGTACCAACTGCAGGCGTGGCCACGCAAGAGAACAGCAGGGCGAGATGCCTGATTTGCTTTGGTCTGAGGGGCAGAGTCGGGGCCGCGACGCCATGGACAAAGCCAGCCTCTCAGCCGTGGGGCTCAGGAGACACCAGCGATCCCGCAGAGCTGGGAAAAGTTTACATCTGCAACGTGTGTTATCACAGCAGGATTTCTTGTTGATCTACAGTCCGCTTTGCGCCACGCTCTGCTGCTCTGCTGCACCTTAAGAGGGTCATTCCTGTTGACCGAGATGCCCCAGATTCACCCACCCCGCATACGCATTGGCCGTACAAAACCCCAAGTCGTGGGGGCTACTGGCCCGGCTGCCTGAGGACATTTGGGGAGTGGCCGTTGTCAAGAAAGTCCATTTCCCCCAAGCTTTGCCTCCTGTGTGGGGTGAGGTGTCCCTTTGCCCTGGATTCTGGGGGTGCTCAGAGGGGGGAAGGAAGCAGGCTTAGGTTCTTTTCCTTACTCATGGGCAAGCCAAGGCGGCACGGGGCTGTCCAGAGGATGCCACAAGGTTCCAGATGGGGCTTAGGGTGGCCTTGCCTTTATGGGTGCCGAGAAGGGGCCACAGACTGTAGGGCTGGGGCTAGCAAAATCACAGCAGCCGAGGGAGGCCTTTCCTGCCTCCTCGCCCGGGCTCCAGCGTCCCACCTGCAGGCAAGAGGCGGGTGGCCAACCGCAGCCACCCTCCTAAAAATCGGCGCCTGCAACACAGGGCGGGCCGGAAAGGGCGACTGTCGAGAAGGCTCCGCCTGGAGAGGCCTTTTTTTGTCCCTGCTCCAGGAATCCGCCCTCCCTGGCGACCCGGCGCTCGTCTCTGCTGTCAGGTACGCCGGCACGCCCGAGGCATTTACTTATTCATGAACCGACTTTCTGCAGCACTTTTCCGTCTGGATGCATCGATGCGGTGGGGCCGTTGGCCGACGCCGTTCGGGGGAGATTAAAACTGGCCCTTCAGGCGGCTGCCAGCGGTAACAAGCAGAGGCTCTGGGCGCAGCAGTGGCGGCCAGAGAGGAGAGGTTTGGGAGCCTTCCTTCCTTCCTTCCTTTCCTCCCCCTTTTCCTTTATTTTTATAGGGAACTCCCTCTTATGTGTCCTTTGGTTCATGCTTATAGGAAAGCAGACAACCTTGGAGCCCTTTTCTATGTTATTTCTCCACAAGGTATTTGGACAGAGTTGTTTGCTTTTACTCTGCTGTAACTTCTACGTCAAAGAGAACGGTTGCTTCAAAACAGATGAATCAGGCCCTCGCTCTCAGCACGGCTGTTCAAGCCCAATCGCCGTCCCCCGTCAGCCTGCAGGAAGGGCACAAACCGAGGGGTGCAGCTTTGCCCAGAGGGGGTGGGACTACAACACCCATCATCCTGCCACCAGTGGGCCAAGTGTTGGCACAGAAAACGAGACGGCAGAACAGGGAACCTAAGGCAGAGGCGGACCCCTCTCGGCTAGAGGCGGCCAAATGCAGCCCTGAGAGAAGGAGACAAACGTTTTAAAATACACGCAGGGAGGGAACGAAGCGGACCATGACTTCTCAGAAAAGCAGGTTTGCAAATAAGACCATGCAGCCAATGCATCCCACACAGAACGAAAAAGAAAGAAGGCCAACACAACGGCAGAGACGTTAAACGCAACGTGAAAATAAATGTGAAAATAAAAAGACCCCGTTTGCAGCAAAGGAATGGCTGGCCTACAGCAACTCAGTGCTCAAGAACATGGTGTGGGCGCACGCACGTCCTCTCCTGCCTTGAATGGCCATCTAGAGGCCGAAGAAGAACACACGGAAACCCTCCTGTCGGTCTCCCCGGGACTGCCCCGTGGGCTGGCGTGGCGGCTGGTTAGAAACGTGGATGCTTTTCCAGAGGCCCACCCCGAGGGGTCTCCTCCTACCCCAAGGGCCACAGAGATAGGGATGTGGGTTGGTGAATCCCGTCCTTGCTCACCAGGAAAGAGCCTCAAAATCACTCCCCAACAACTGCTTGGACCCTTTGAGTCCACTGACCCCTCCCGAAAATCCTGCACATAAACTGGGTGCCACATACAGGGCGACGGGCACCAGGGCTGCGCATGGGGAGGAGTTCTGCATGGGGAGATTCCCTTGGGACACAGGATGGGAGAGGCAAAGAAAAGGCGCACAGGTGCGCGCACACACACACACACACACACACACAAAGAAGCTGATGGAAAAAGCACACTGAAGGGTGTTTGCAAAGGCTGCGGCTGCTGCCGTTGGAAGACCTAAACCCAGCGTCCACCATGATCGTCGGCCTCGGAGAGACTGAACACCCGACGCCGTCCTTTCCTCTCCGGCCTGACTAGAGGGAAGCACAGGGATCGGTCACATGAAGCTTCCAACAGGGAGGGTGGGGTCGGGGGGTCGGAGGGGAGGGCGATCACAGGAAGCAAACAGGAAGGAAAACACGTTAGCACAATCACGAAACAACCACGACAGAGACACATCAGGAACACTCGGGTCTCTGGGCGGGCTCCCTCGCCTTGTAAAATCTTGGAGGAACGTGGCCCGGGAGACGTGCGAGGCAACCCACGTCAAGCAGCGAGAGAGACGTGATGGAGACACACAGAAGACGCGCGACAGACGGCTGCAGCATGCGTGCGCCCATTCATTCTTGATGGCCCACTTAAAACATGAAGGAAGGGCAATCTTTTACAGATTTCTGGTTGGTTAGCAATATTCTATCCCACTTAGAGGTAATAAATTGTCCCCAGTGTGGCTCCATCTCTCCAGAGCGGGTCATAAATTATCATGCTGGGTAAATCCACCCCTTTTAGAAGGGGAGTCTGAAACACTGCCCTTGGATAACAATCAAAGCTAAGTGCAGCCTCTTTTCTTTCTTTTTCCCTGTCTGGTTAAAGATCCAGTGCCAAGCTATAAAACTAGAGGAGAGAGACATGGACAGAGCAAACCACCAAACTCAGCACACAGACAAAAGATTTCTGGGGAAGATCCCATTGGTGCGCCCCCTTCCCTTCTGGGATAATTAAAGGCAACTCATTAAGAAAAGGAGACACAAGGGAGACAGAAGACGACCCATTTCCACACATCCTCAGGGCTCTGAACCCCGCACGCCCGACCGTCTCCTCCTCAGCTGTGCCACATCAAAGCTGAGGGGAACTTGCGCAAGAGGACTTGAGCAAAGGAAGTTCCCGGACTCTGACTGGATTCTCTGCAGTCATGATTCACAGGAACTCTACTTTGGCATATGTAAACACAAAGCAGTGAAATATACAAAAGTAGAAAAGTATAGAGCCACTTTGTATTTATATATATATGATTACATTCCCGGTATGATCCAGGATCAAGGGATTTGGCCTTCAATCGAGACGTTTTGAATTTCAGCAGCCACCGTCTCAGGCCTCTGACCGTCCTGGCTACTGAAGTCTGAAACCTTCAACAGGTCAACGGTGGAGAATGGCTGCTCGAGAACTTAGATCTGCAGTTTTCACACTCCATTAGACCAAGGGCAGGCGTCATGAAGACCAGGGACCTCATCTGAAGCCAGTCCAGAACTTCTCTTAATCAGGGTGGATCTGATTTAAATCATCATTTATTTTATATATATATTTTAAAAAATTCTTGATTTTTGTGCCCCCTGCCCCCAAACTAAAAATTAAAACAGGTAGTGGCCTTTCAGGAAGCTAGGACTGCGCCATTTTCAGGTCTGGTGTAGCCCATTGTAGGTCTCGGGGCTGAGGGAATGAAAATAAGGAGGATCACGCAGAACTGCTGAGACAGATAATGCAAACGACAAGTACCAATGTTTAGATAGCAGGGCTTTTTAACAGATGCAGTCTTACAGGGTTTTGCTCTCTCTTTTTGATTGATTTGCCTCTAAATTGCTTTTAACCTGATGGGATTTTGAATGTGATGATTCTGTGTGCACATTGGGGGCGGGGGTGGTGTTGGTCTGTTCCTGGTTTTTAAATCTTGTGACCTCTCTGGAGTCCCACCTTTTGGTTCAATGGTGAAATATAACGGATAGAGATACATCAAGATGTGCAGTGTCGGGAAGATTTTTATGGGCCGCCAGAGAGACAGACAAATGGGTTTTGGGTCCGATCAAGCCTGGACTCCTGCTAGAAGTTAAAAAGAAAAGAGGAAGGCCCAATACAAGATGGATTGATTCAATAAAGGGAGTTGTGGCCTTCAGTTGGCAAGAGCAGAACACAGCTGTACAACAAGGTCCTTTAGAGATTATTAACTCATAAGCTTGCCAGAAACCACCCGATGACACACAACACACACAAATAAAGAAATTTTAGCAGTGAATTTTTTTACCTAGGATGAAGGGCAAGCCCCGTGGCTCTAAGGAAAGTCTCCTCCAAGGTGGGGCCTTCCCATATCCCTGATTAATGGAACTACAAGACAGCTACCCTGCGTTGTATTAACTACAGGGCTTTTTGTCCAACAGGTCTGGAAGACCACCTCCCCAGCTGGGGAAAGGCCGCTGCTTGTAGGATCCTTGGGTCAAAACGATGTGAAGACTCCCTTCTCAGTTCCAGAGACCACGAAGCAACCATGGACCCGGTCACCGTGGTCTGGCTCGGTTTGCTAATGAGGTAAGCATCTCGTCATCTCTGCAAAACTACCATGAGCCAGATGTGGGTGGCAGGGAAGGCAGGGTAGAACCGAGGGTCTAACTCTTTCCCAAAGGACGTAATTCCACTGCCAGTTAGAGATCTTTCAACGGCTGGCTGGACCACTCCGTGCGTTAGGCCTCCGGCTGCAGAGCCAGAGACTGGGAATTTGATCCCTCACTGGGCCTTCCTGGGAGAAAAGCTAGCCTTGGGAAAGCTGGACACAGTCTTAAGGCGCCCAGAAGGAGGGAATGGCAAACCATTTCTGAGCATGCTGTACCTGGAAAATGCTGGAGAGGGTCACCGTTTGTCAGCGCTGATTTGATGGCACGCCATAATATTATTGTTTGCCATCTTCTAATGCTGGATGCTAAACAAGGATCAGGTTAAAAGCTTCTGAGCGAGGCAAAAAAAAAAAAAAGTTCAGAGGATGCCCTTTGAGCTGAACAAAACAGTTCCTAAAAATCCCCCTTCGAGGCCTGCCATCCTGCAATTCAGGGGCTTTCCACCCTTCCACGATGAAAGCTTCTGCTTTCAGGCTTCCACCGTCCTTCTCTGGTTCTCCAAAGGGAAGGCAAAGGTTTCACACAGAGGAGACAGATGGGTAAAGGGGACTGTGGATCAGAAGTGATAAGAAAGGCTTGCAACCTGGCACCGAGAGCGCAGAACCAGCCCCATCCGAGTGCACACCGGGAAGCCTGCAAGCTGCCTTGCTATGATTCTCGTGTGCATCACGGCAGTGATTCAGTTTTTGCAGAACTAACTCCCCTTTGCATACTTTCCAGCTTAGTAACTTGTTGAGTGTAAAACCTCCTGCCTCCAGAGACCCAGGGCTGCATCCAATCCTTTTCTACAGTTATTAAGAAAAGAACAGATTCCCCACCCTGCGGCTCCACATCACTGCAGGCTTTCCCTGACCCAAGAGCCCAGCTCAAAAGCTAGGGGAATCGTTTTGCCCGGATCTTGCCAGAATGGGGCACGTCAGCCTCTGCCCACGAAATGGTCTGAAATGGGCACCATGTACCAACTGTGTCAAAAGAGGAAGGCTGGAGGTGGGGGAAGAGAGACGAAAGCCATCTGCACAAAATTCAAGGAAGAACCAACTCTCCCCACAATGGGGTGACTTTCTTGATCAACAGCTCAACTGACTAAAGACAGGTCATAGTCTTCCGACTTTCAAGCTAGCGCTTTTTCCAGAGTTTATGAGAGCAGGAAGATGATCAGGTGGTCTGTTTCAGGGGAAAAAAATCAATGGGGATGAATTCATGTAGGAACAGCTCAAGAGAGCATATCCTGAAACCCAGTCATCTCCAGTGGAAATACAAAACGTTTCCAGGAATAGAAAAGCCAAGAAACAAAAGAAAGAGGACAATAGAAGGTTTTGCAGTTGTTCCTGGAAGATGGTAAGGAACCCTGCTATTCCAGAGCAGAAGTCGGGGGGGGGGAGGTGACTCTCTATGAGCAAACGCTTGTGGGACATGCTGGTGGGGATGATGAATCAAAACAGTGTGGAGCCATCTTTCTTCCTTTCTGACCCTGAGGGAGAGATTGTTCTCAGTCAGTGCCTCAACGATTGGCCCGTAGATGGGTTTTTGAAATTAAACTGAAGCTGGGCTTTCACATGAAGGATACTTAAAATAAAATTTTAAAAAGGCTTATTTCGGTACACAGGTTTCAGTGCCTGGTGACCCTCAGCCCTCTGTTGACAAAACAGAGAGGAGTGAATTTGACACCCGTGATCATGGCGTAGGACACTGTCTACTGGATGAGACCTAAGGCCTTACCCAGGTCTGGTTTCTGTGGGCCCAGAAGCCAACCTGAGACTCACAGAAAGCCCATAAGCAGGACCGGCGGGCAAAGGCACGCGAACGATCAGCACACAAGAGATGAAGGGCCTGCCTGGCCTTGGAAGTAAAGCCGGACCAGCAGCTCCCCGGAGTTGTCTAATCCCCCTGCTCAAAGCCCGTGGCTGTCCCCAACACCCGGTAGCAGAGAAAGAACAGACAATGGAACAGAAATATCAGATATAAAAAAAGAGACCGCTCTAAAGATCGCTTCAAATGTTTTGCTAGTCCGCAAATGAAACAAGGCTTAAGAATGGAGCTGATGGATGGGCTGGTTCTCTCCCTAAACCCTCATTCTAGTGCCCAGGAAAATGGGAATCACCACCCTGGTCTTCCAGGCGAAATGCTCTTCTCCTTACAGTTGAGGGATCAGGCCAAGCCCTTTGTATATTCGGGATCCGAGGGGTGGGATTTCAAAGTCCTAGAATACAAAATCTGGGGAGGTCCGAGAACCAGCGCACACCGTTTCGCGCAGGTGGCGCTAACACACTTTTGGTCTGCAAACAGCAGGACCGTCAGATGACAAGGATACAGAACTGTGCCTCGCACCCGTGGGGCTGCAAATTACCACAGAGGAAAAAAGAAAAAGAAAAAAAAGGATGGCCTGGGCATCGTTCCTTCGCCAATTCTGCATGGAGAGAAAGAGACTCAACTGAATCCCTCTGGGTGCCCTTTTCCAGAACGTCTGATTAACGCATGCGAGATCAAACATGGAGAAGGTTAAGAAGCCTCCTTAAAGCCAAGTTCACACAGAGTTTTTGCTCTAAGTCCCACGGCCGGGTGGGAATCCACGGCAGCAGGAGCTGAAAGCAAAGGAGGACTGAAATACCTGAGGGGCTTTGCACCATGGAAGGGGTTGACGTGGAGCTGGCGGTCGCCGAATCGCAGCGCCCGGTGCTCCCGCTGGACGAAGGGGACGGCGAAGAAAGCGGCGAGGGCTTGTGCTGGCTGACACACTGGGCGACGGCAAAGCCTGGGAAGAGAGGAAAGTCAGAGCTAAGAACGGTGACCAAAAATGCAAAAGCACCCCTGCGGAGGAAAGATGATGATGCCATGACCGCAGTACAGGGTTCTCAAACTGAGGACACCCCAGCCCACCACTCTGTCAAAGGACATCCACCTCACCGGGACAGAGAGAAAATCCTACTTCTCCCAAGACAGGAGATATTTATAGGTTTACTGGTGCCCGGGTCCACGCGTCCTTATCCTACTAGTCAGTTGCTGTTATGTTTTAAGATGGTAACATGTTACCAGAATCTTGCCGGGAGTAAATGCAAACAATGCTAGTCACTCCATTTGTAACTGAACGGAAGTGCAACACCATTGAGTTTATTATTACTGCTACAGTAACAACAAAAAGGCAACTATAATTAAAAACAAATAAATCAGGGTCAGTTTTGCAGGAGGTCTTGGGGAATTGGAAAGAGCTAACGTTTCCACCAGTTATGAAAAGTCCTGCAATTATTTTGGAACACTTCTGCATCCTGCTGGTTTGGCTGACCCCAACCAAGGATCTCGCTACTCCCACGAGCTCGCTCATCCCAGACGTAGGGAAAGGAGGAGGGAAAGAAGCCAGGATCCTTCCCCTGCCTTGCCTTTGCCGCTTCAGGCAAAACAGGGTGGAGAGTACACAGGGCTGACAAAGCCCTGCAGACTTTCCACTGAAGGCCAGAATTCCCTGGAACACCCGCTTGAACCCTGCGACCCGAAGCCCCTGGACGGCCGCCACTTTCTCTTCCTTGAAAGGGAGGCGAGGCTCGGGAGCAAAGGCCGGCCGGCCGGTCACCCTCGGCGGCCTCTTCGTGGGACAGCCGGTCTGGTAGGCGCTGTCCAAGGGGCCAAGGAAGAGCGGCGCTGCTCGGCAGCCGAGTCTGGAGGCTGCTCCACACTGGTCTCCTATGCTGGGAAGGATGGGAGTTGTAGTCACACCAGCCCCCTCTCTGGCAGCTCTGCAGAGATGCCACGATGCAGCAGGAAAAGGCACGGGCCAATTTGAGATCTGCCTCTGGATGGCCCAGGGGGCCAGGGCGGGTGTTCTCCTGGCAGCCTTCATGCAGGGACTCTGAGGGGGGACTTTGGAAACCCGAAGGGGGCCGCGAGTCAGGGCAATGTATGTTTATATTCCGCTTTTCTTCCAAGGAGCTCTCAGTGGTGTCTACCGCCGTCATCCTCTCTCTTTATCCAGGTAACACCCCTGTGAGGCAGGCCACGGGGAAAGATTGCAACTGGCCCAAAGTGAATCGCCGAGTTCCATGGCCAAGGGAGAGGCTTTGAAACTGGATCCTCTGAGCCCAACTGAAGACTTGAACCCGGATCCCTTGCACCACTTTTGAATTCACACTGGACTGCTCTGCGAATAAGCAAGACATGCCTGGAAGCAGGGGAAGTGCTCTTCCCATCCTTGCACAAGCCTCGTCGGGAAGCAAAGCTTACTGTGGCGGCAGCCGACGTGAGATCCCGTGTCAAAGGCACAATCCACACGGATGAGTCAGGAAGAGCTTCCTCCATAGTTTTACCAGCAGCACAACTGGAACCCGTGTTCAGGGGCTTCTCCTGCTCCCTCTCTTGGCAAGATTTCCTAGAAGCATCTGTACGTCTGATGCGTCATACCTGGCCCTTCCACCAGGTTTTGCAATACTTCCCAGAAATCAGGCACTGAGCACCCGCTACCGATAAGGGAAGCGACGTCGGCCTGAGACCGAGGGGATGTCCACCTGTACCTTTAACCTGCTTTTCTCACCCGTTGAACCCACAAAGCAGAGCGTCTGGGGCCGTAGGCTCTCAGGAGCGGCCAGAGATTTTATCTCGCTGGGCTCTGTAAGGCACTTGACACCTGCCAAAGGTGTAACAATCAACGTGTCGAGAAAGGAATGTGTGGCACACTCTGCCACGAGATATCAGGCTGGCTGGATAGATTCACGAAGCTCTGGAATATCACTTCTGGAAGCAGAGACCAAGGGGCTTGGGTGAATCCCTTGCTGGAGGTGAGGGGACCGGCAGTGTGGGCACAGCTGTGCTCTTTTCAGGGGTGGGTGTGTGCGAGCACATGCATGCGTGCTCCCAGAGATTATTAGCTGGCCTTTGTGGGAACAGAATCGTGGACTTTGACATGATCTAGCACTGGGGGGGGCATATCTTCTTAAGAAAAAAGGATGTGCAGCGGAAGCTTTGAGGAGTAAAGTATTCACAAATGAAGGAAGGAGGGCAGTCAAAGAGGAATGACGTTCACACACCCGCTCCATACTGATGGAAGCAACTGTTCTGGTTCTCCACAAAAAGTGGGGTAAGGTGTACAAAAATGAAAGGAAATAGTTAAGGCAGCATCGGTCAAAAGCAACGGCCCTGGTGTTGGAGGTCGTTCAGGGTGACTCTACCCATTGGTGCACAATCACGAACTGCCAGCTCCAACTCAGACGACAACCTAGGCAGACCGACGGGGAAGAGGTGCAGGAGGGATGGGATGCATCTGCCTTCGGAAGCCCTTGCCAGAAGGAAGGCTTCTCTCCCTCCTCTGCCAGCGTACCTTTCTGCTCAGCCATTTAAAAAAAAAAGGTCCTTCCCAAGAGGATGATCTGAGAGTTGTAATGAAGAAAAAGGTAAAGAGCAGGAGCGGGATACAATTTGCCCAATCCGGATGTTTTGGAACAGTGACTTTTTGGACTAAGGTCCCCCAAACCTTCTACGAGTTGACACAGTCTGTGGCTTGCAGCTTTGCAAACCCCCCCCCCCCCCAAGAAGTAACTTTGCTGTCCAGGCTAAAGACTGGAGGAAGACCCATCTGAAAAGACCAACACGCAACTGCCCACAAGCAGAAATTCAGAGTCTCTGGAAAAGAACCCCATTCTCATTACTCATTACTGGGTTGCAACATTAACTTTTTTTTTTTCCAAATGGTGCCTCCTCCATTGTGGAAGAATGTTTATGACCAATGACGCAGAAGCCCTGGAACATTCCTATCCACATGCCTTTAAGAAACTGGAAAATGTCATTCTTTAGTTGACATTAACATCCTTAGATTTAACTGGGTTCCTGCTTGTCCTATTATACACAAATGCAACTTTTAAGAAAGAGGTACCAAACTAGATTCCCCATAAAGCCATTGCTTCTTGATGTATTAAAACCATATATTAAAATGTTCAGAAAGCTCCCAAACTATTTTTAAGGAAATTAAGTCAGTGGCACCTGGTGGTTTGAGAAAGCCAGCCTCTAAACAATGCCAGATTAAGATATGTTGTGAACTAAGATGGCACAGCTGATTCCCTCCCCCACAAGGAAAAATGTATTTATTTTCAAACACACTTCAAAACTCCTGAAAAACAGGATTAAAATGGAACTTTAAAGACTACACAATGTGGGAGAAAGAGAAGGATGGATGTAAGTGTTAGTTTATCCCTGCAGTTTTATATTCCGAAGTACTGCAGAGATTTATAAAGAATTAACGTGTTGCCAAGTATTATTATATGAATTGCTGGATAGCTCGGGGGGTGGAGGTCTCTGGCTGTTGAGTCAGAGGATGGGAGTTGGAATTCCCCACTAGGCCTCTCTGACAAGGTTTGGACTTGATGACCCCATAGGGTCCCTTTCAGTCCTGCAGGTTCACAAGTTATTATTGTTGTTTTATAAGGGTAAAAAGCAGAAGCTTATGCAAAGCAGTTAAACTGGCCCAGAGAAAGGACAGGAATAACTAAAGGTGCATTTTTGTGCTTTGTCATGAAAGCACACTTTTGAACTGCCTCAAAGTTTTTACCGGGTAAACTAGGAAAGGAGCCAGCTCTTAAACGTAAGGAAAAGTAAGCAATGCGCCCTGTTTTATGATGCCTCCCAAGGGGTATAAGAACCCGGAGGGGGTTTCCATGTCTTTGATTGAAGCCAAACTTGCCTGCTTGCCTGCCAGAGGCCAAAAGGGGTGCATTTCGGGGGGGGGACTTCCACCCAACCTCTGGCTGGAAGGGTGAGGCCATTTAAGAGAGGGTCACGAAAAATGAACCCAATGTTTGCCTGCTTTGTTTTGACAGGAACCAGCCGATGGAAATAAGAGAAGTCCAAGGGGTACAGCTGATGGGAAAGAAACCATGAAGAAGAAGCTGGCTGGACGTTTTCATCACCGCCCCGGGTGTGGATTATGGGATGTGTAATCCCAAAGACACAATCCCTCAAAAGCTACTGAGCAAGAGCGAGGGAAGAGACAGGGAAATCTAAGTGGCAGTCAATATGTCCAGCTTTTTAGCTGAGGACAAAGGTGAAGAACACAGACATAGCCTGCCAAGGAAGAGATAAGGACGGCTCCATAACGATGCCTCCCCCTAACCCCCACCCTCCCGGCCCCAATCTCTGCACAGCCCCTCCATCTTTCATTCCCCATAATTGGTCTCCGAAGGGCCGTTTTGACAACGACGGCTCTGTGGAAACGCTTAGCTTTGCTTCTAGCTTGTCACTGTGAGAGACGAGAAATCTATGAAAAAAGATTTTTTTAAAAAAACCAAAACACGAAAACAAACCCAGACCACCAGCCACAGGAAACAGCACCTGAGCCTGCTTGAAAATACAATACTTCTTAAAAACCACAGTTCTTCTGAAGAAGGGAACCAAGCGTGCAACTTGGGAAGACCTCAGGAGCAGAGAAAGCTTCACCTCCCATTAGTTCATGCAGCAGCCTCAGGGAGACGGGGGTGGGGTGGGGGGGTTGGGAGAAATTCAGGTCAATTTTTTTAGTTCTGAAAAAAAAAACCAGGAGGAGGGGAGGGGGGAACACCTCTCTGCGGCTTCCAGAGGCCCAAGATGCCTGGTGGAATAACTGACAGAGAAGCCAGCTGTCTGTCCATCAGCAGACTGTAAGCCCAGGGGGTGGGGAATGCTTTCTGGCACCCAGAAGGGTGAAGACATTCAGCATGAATGCTTTCTGGCACCCAGAAGGGTGAAGAAATTCAGCATGCCAAAAAGTCAGTGAGTTAGGTCTCTGGCTGCAGAGTTTGA